TCAGTTGCTTGATGCTGTGTTTAAGACTGACCGTGTCCTTGTTTCTGCTCTTATGTCTTTGGCTGCAAATTGTTCTTTAACTAACAGTATTGAGCCTTTGTCGCAGGTTTGATACCTCAAGGGTCCACCTTAAAACAGGTGCACTAATTGAAAGTAATGTATTAACTATTCTTGCTTTTTAATGTATGAATTGCAGTACACTGCAATGGCAAAGGTGTGAAGCTAAATTTGCTCCAGGCAGTGGAGAAGAAGAAACTACTGATCCTTATCAAGATGAAAATGATACTGGACCTGATTTAAAAGCTAGCGGTCCGTGTACAATTTCTAATACATTGTTTTTAAGACAAACTAATTTGATTTAAAAGGGTTTTTTTCTTTTGTTTTATTTGTTTTTGTGTGTCTGTGTGTGTTCAGTGACATTACCGTCCACACTCTGTGCCAGGTGGTAGCGTTACTCCACGGTTTCGCCAGGAAAATTTGACAAGAAGAAGAAGAACTGGGAGGACTCCGAACTAGTGATGGGATTTCCGGCTCTTTTTAGCGAACTGGATCTTTCAGCTCGACCCACTAAAAAGACCCGACTCTTTCGGCTCCGAACCGGCTCTTCTGGTTGTTTTGTTGCTTTAATTAATTTATTATTAACGATAATATAAAATTATGCACAAAAGGAATTACTAATGTAAAAAAAAAAGTAGTTTTATTTATTTATGTTTGTATATAAATATATACAGTGGCCCCTAGAGACAAAACACGTACAAACTCCAAAAAGCACGTACAAACTTCAAAACAGAGCTACCTAGATCACTTAAATTACACAATTGAAAGCATATGTGTATTGTTTGTGTATTTATACGCAAGCACTCATATATATTCAAATAATTTTAAAAAATGTTCATTTACCTGTTACTACCACACACCAAATCCGGTCGTTGGTACATGCTGGCTTGTGTAGCCACTAGGTAACAAAAGCTCAACCTAGCATCCTGGAGCACTTCTGTTGTGTTTTGTACGTGTTTTGGAGTTTTTACGTGCTTCTGAGTTTTTATGTGTTTTGTAGTGTTTACGTGTTTTGGAGTTTGTACGTGCTGCTTTGTCTCTAGGGGCCACCGTAAATATACTTTTATTTATTCACTCCACATAAAATGTATTAAATAAATCATATAATACAAAAACCAACTAGTCACAGTTCAACTTTTAACTGTTTAAATGTTCAGCTTTTTCCTTTTAAACAAATGTAAAGTGAAACAACACAAAACACTGCAAACCACAACACAATTAAATATAAATGAAAATATGAAAACAAAAAGAAGATGCACATTCTCTGTCATATGG